TTCAGTAACACTATTGGAACACGTAGAATTGAAGTGCACTGACAAGTTTAATTGTCAAACCTTACTAAATTAATGCAATATGCTCTTTTGTAGGTCTTCCAGGTTCGTGTTTCCGTGGTGACGTCAGTGGTGGCAATGGCAGTGGCAGCGGCAGCGGTAGTATCGATCCGACACTAATGGACTACAACTCCTGGACCTCCTCCACTCAGCAACAACAGCAGCCTCACACCGGTCCTGCTCATCCTTCAAGCAATCTCCAGCCCGTCAATGACCACTTCTCTCGTCGCATTATCGGTAACGTTGGTGTTGGAGGCACCAACGATGAAAGCCACTTTGCCAATGCCTGGAACGCCGCGACTCCCAACGACAGAGCCAATCAGTGGAGTAGAAATTCTATGCCTCTGTGGAGTAGCAGTTCTGTTGTCCGGGCTGATCAGAGCGATTCGCCTAATGGGGCTAGACTAGGTGGTGTCATGGGCATGTCCACGAATCCTGAATCGTCTGGTAAGTTGGCATTCATGTTTTCTTTTTCTTATTTCTAGCTTGTGCAATCATTAAAAATGTTTGGTTTTTCCTTTTTTTGCTGTTTCTGCTGCAAAATCTCTTACATTATTTATTTAGCAAGTAAATTTAGAGCTCTTGGGTTTTATGATTTTCTTCTCTACTAGACGTTATGTGAAGATCCATGCAAACCTGTTTTTAATCTCGCTTCTTTCATCTTTCTTTTGCAATAAAATTGCCTCCAACTATGTGAATTCACAGCGGTCATGTTTTGTAGTTGAGCTAGCGAATTGTGTGCGTGCTGGCAAAGTGGTTCATTTGGGACTCAACAAGGTGGAATACTGGTTGAATGTGCTTACTAATTTCACGTACGAGTCAACTGACTCCCTCGACAACGGTTTAGAAGTCTGATTGCAAAATGCCGTTTTGGTGTTAGTCGAAACCGTTCTGAGGCCTTCGTCTGATACAGATCCTGGCCCTATTCAAAGACCGGTATGAAGTGGAATAGGCGCTTTTCTGCACCGCTAAGTGTTTGTTTGTGAGCAAGTATTTAGACCTGTAGAAGTGTAGCACTTTGCTGTCTTGTTGCAAGGTTTCCCAAGTTGGCAGGGTCGCGAAGGGCTTTTGCTTAGGTTTCGTAGTATTTCCCACCAAAAGTGGTAATTGTAATGCGTTGCCGAAATTTAATTACACATCTGCATTTCATTACGGCTTGTTTTCTTTTTTTTTTGAAAAAAATCCCATTAAATCCGCGGGGCGAAGTTGGGTACAATTCCTTTTTAACGCCTAATTCTTCCGACATGGATTTTCCTTCGGCAAGTGTCAAACCTACCCTAACAGATTGTGACAACTGCGCGAACAAAATATTTGATGAGAATAGCTGCTGAAACTTCTTTGATCGGTCTCTTTTTAAAACAACGATCGGCATTATTATTGTTTCTCTTATCAACGTTTCGCTTTTAATGATATCGTGATGAAGCCATATTTGCCTTAATTCTTATTCTTACTAATTGTCGGTTGTATCTCATACAGCTAGGAGAAATGAATCATGCGAGGCAAGTGTGTATATATGGTAGTTT